GGAGGAGGCCCCGAGGAAGACCCAGGACACGCTGGAGGGACTGTGTCTCTCGGCTGGCCTGGGAACACCTTGGAGTTCCCCCGGAGGAGCTGGAAGAAGTGGCTGAGGAGAGGGAGGTCTGGGCCTCCCTTCTGAAGCTGCTGCCCCCGCGACCCGACCCCGGATAGGAGGAAGAAAATGGATGGATGGATGGATGGATGGATGTAGAAAATGCACAAAAACTAACCGTCCCAAAACCTAAAATTACCTTGATGCACTCTAGACATCCTGTCCGACCCTAGTACCTAAAATGAACCATCAACCCTGATCCCTAATATTACCCGTTTTTAGAAAATGTAGGATATTCAAATTAAYTRCGYGTCCCAAACCCTAAAATTACCTAATATTGGCTCTAGACGTCCTATCCCTGACYCCACTACYTKAAATTAACTATGAACCCTGATCCCTAATATTAACTATGGACCCCAAATCAAAGACCCTATATTTTGCGTCCCGACACGTCAAAACTGGACGCTGAGGAAACCCGATAGTGTGTCTTWTTACTGAAGCGAAGGGGGTACCTGATGCATCAAAATAAGACGCAGAGGGAACCTGACAAAGTGTCAATATGTGACGAGTTCGGAGTGCTTTTACTTATAGATATTTGTTTTAAGTACTTTGTATACCTCTGAAAAAAAGATCTGCCTTGGCCTCACAAACACAAAAGACTCTTTCTGTTTTTATCTGGTTTTAACYGGATAAAATGCAGTAGAACTGAGGGTTTTGGGTTTAGGTCAGTGGAAGCTGGGACCACCTGTGGGTCTTGCGAGGGCTCTTGAGTAAATTCCCAGAAATGAAACAAAATTAAAAGATGATTGCTAAAGTCCCGTTCTGTCCTCACGGTTTATCCTGGTTTAACTGACGTTTGTACGTTTGAATCGTAACTGGAGTTCTGCTGCTCTGTTGTGGGTCAGAGACTAAAGATCTGAGCCCCCGTTCACACCTGGCACCAACATCCTAGGTGGTCCCATCACTACCAGCTGGAAATGTGTACAACACATTTCAAATCAAGGCTCGCGGGCCAAATCTGGCCCTCGTTACCATTTAATCCGGCCCCGAAGGTAACACTTTAGTTTTCTTTTACAGATGCTCTATGGAGAGCAACAGAGAATTTAATTTAATGATCTTTTTCTGTGTTCTTTTCGTATTTTAAAGCCAAATTATTTTTCAATTCAAAAAATTTATTAATTTCATTTCAAATTATTGGAGTTTTAGCGAAGATAAGCCTGTAATCGGAAGGTTGCTGGTTTAACTCTCGGACGATATCTATAATATAATAAATAATCTTTATTTATTAGGTTATGTATGTTCTATACAACATAATTTGGAAAAAAATCATTTGTTTTTCTACAAACTTATTTTTTCTTGCAATATTTTGAAAGTTCTATCAGAATTGGCATTACAGTTGGATGTAAACATGGCTGACCACTTTACAGATGTTAGTGCCACATGTGAGCGGGGTCCACATAGACCATCAGATCAAACGTCTACGTTATTTTTTACGAATCTCAATTTATTCAAACCACTTATTTTTTAAAACTTTTTTCTTCCATAACGTTGGCAACATCTGAGTGTTTTTTWAAATTATTATTTTAATGCAACCAGAAGTCTCAGCTGAGCTCTTTTTGTTTTTATGCCTGAAGCTCATCATAGACATGAAGACCAAAGAAAAACTGCTGAGCTCTTTATGATTTCTTGTGCATCCTGCAGCCTGGAACGACTCGCAGGAAAAAAATAAAAATAAAAAAACACCCTGCAAGATAAAGAATCTATACCAGAGCCTGAGGAAACTGGTCTGTTATATGGTGCTGTATGAGGGCTAAAATTAAGACTATTGTGCAACCAGCAGTTGCTACATCCTTGTAGCAGGAGGCTATATATATATATATATATATATTCCTAAGCAAGCTATTGATCTGATTAATGACAGGCCAGCACCGCTAACTGAGAGGCCGGCACTGGCAAATGAGAAGAAGGCTATTTATTTGTGCTAGCATCAGGGAGGCTAGCAACTAGCATAGATAAGCTAGCAACTAGCATAGATAAGCTGTGTTAGCATCAGAGAGGCTAGCTACTAGCATAGATAAGCTGGCGTTAGCATCGGAGAGGCTAGTGACTAGCATGGATAAGCTGGTGTTAGCATCAGAGAGGCTAGCTACTAGCATAGATAAGCTGGCGTTAGCATCGGAGAGGCTAGTGACTAGCATGGATAAGCTGGTGTTAACATCAGAGAGGCTAGCTACTAGCATGGATAAGCTGGCGTTAGCATCAGAGAGGTTAACTACTAGCATAGATAAGCTGGTGTTAGCCTTGGAGAGGCTAGTGACTAGCATGGCAAAGAGTTCGCATTAGCATCGAAGAGGCTAGTGACTAGCATGGATAAGCTAGTCTTAGCATTGTAGAAGCTAGCGACTAGCATGGATAAGCTGGTGTTAGCATCAGAGAGGATAGCAACTAGCATGGCAAAGCAGACGTTAGCATTGGAGAGGTTAGCGACTAGCATAGATAAACTGGCGTTAGCATTGGAGAGGTTATTTATTGAGCCTATCCATGCCAGTGGACAGCAGAGGGAGGTGGCAATCCAGTTACTAGCCTAGACATGCTAGCTGCTAGCCTCTCTAACTCAGATCAATAGCTGACTTAGGAATAGCCTCCTGCTACAAGGAAGTAGTAACCTCTGGTTGTGTAATACTCCTAAATTTGGCCCTCGTACCACACCATACTGTTAGTCCCTGCGTCTCGCTGCCCGAGGATTAGAAAATATTCTGCATCTCTGATGAAACCATCKTAGTGACTTGTCCCGTCGTATTTGAATAGATGTGCCGTAAATCAGCAACGATCTCTATTTATCGATAAAACGAAGCATGTTGGTCAGGTGGCTATCCAGTGATTAGTTATGCAGCGGTGTGTAATTAATACTTCGTTCCATGAGTTTGTTATTAGAACAACTTTAGGGGTTTATAGAAACAAACGTACACCCTCCTCCTCCTCCTCGTTTTCTAGCTCAGATAGGACTTTTCACTAGACAAAGCCATATTGTTTAGATCGCAATAATGATTTAAAAAACTGAACTCATTCAAAGTTAACTGTTTTTTTTTTTTTAGATAAAACGTTTGTTTAAATCGTCACCATCTTTAAACAGAAAATCTGTAAAAGAAAAAAAAAGCAGCCATTGTTTGAGTGTCTCGGTGTGTTTTCTGTGGCTGTAAGTGTGTTTAGATCTGCGTGTCTTTCTACACGTCTGTGATGTCGTCGACTCATATAGTCCTTGTTTATTCGACGTAAACGTGTCTTTAAATGTTCTGTGCACAGGCTGAACCCGAGGTGGCCTCCTGAACGTGCCATGTTTGGAAAAAAAAATACTTAACACATTCCTTTCAAATGTTGAGCATGCAAACGTTTGGTAGAGACGAGAAAACATCAACTGTCATGAATAAAATCTAAATATATTTACAGAGGGATGAATCCCTGTCAGTCTCTGTGGCAACAGAATCTGAGTTGGATCCAGAAAATCAGCTTTGAGGCGACTTCAGTGAGTAAATATATATTTTTATGTTTTGAAGTTTTAACGTCGCAGAAAACTCAGACATCAGATTTGTTTAGTTTCGGCACCATGTTTCCAGTTTGTTGTTATAATTCTGGGCTCACCTGAAGGATTTCTGTGGATCAGTCTAGATTTAAAAAGTTACATCAGACATGTTTGTGGTCAAATGGAGAAGCTTTTAGAAAACAGGGTAAGTTTAACGATTTGATGTCTTGTTGGATATTTTCTTTTCTTTTATTGTTGTAGGAAACAAACTTTGTTACTTCAGACAGTCACTAGAATATAAAGCACTGTGATGCAGTTTGCTTCTTCTGAGTAGTAGCTAAATTGGGACCATAAAGTTTATTCAAAAATTTGAAAAATAATTTAGAGACTGTAAACAAATGACTTAAAACCAAAAAATAATTTGAAACTGGAAAAAAAAAAAAAAAAAAAAAAAAAAAAMAAGTTGCACATTTTTGGTTATATAATACAAYGACCTTCCATACTTTAATTATGATACAACTGCATGCTATACATTACTAATTATATGCTATAACCA